AGGAGGGACAGTGGTTTGGACATGTTCAGAGGAGGGACAGTGGTTTGAACGTGCCCAGAGGAGGGACAGTGGTGTGGACATGTCCAGAGGAGGGACAGTGGTTTGGACATGTCCAGAGGAGGGACAGTGGGTATATTGGTAGAAGGATGTTAGAAATGCAGCTGCAGGAAAAAGACAAAGAGGAGACATGTGGATGCAGTTAGAGAGGACATGGAGGTAGTTGGAGTGAGGACAGAGGACACAGAGGACAGAGTGAGATGGAGGAGGACTCACTGTGGAGACACCTGAAGAGAGAGAAGCTGAAAGAAGAAGAAGACCCTGTTTTCCAGCACCCTGACTTATCGTTTTATTCACTACCCTTTTATTGTGTGAATGCCTATAGGAATTCATTCTATTGACATCCACTTTTTCTGCCGTACGTTTTTCGGCATCTAACTACTCCCGCACTACTGCTTTTACATTTAGGTCCAATTAACCTTCTTTCAGCTTCCTTGTGCAAATTTCTGGAAAAATTCAGCTAGTTCAGCTAATTTCAGCTGTTTTGTGCTCCTTTCAGCTTCATTCAGCTAACTTTAAGATTTTTATGCTTCTTCAAATTTGTTTCAACTAATTTCAGCTTGTTTTGCTCCTTTCAGCTTATTTCTGTAGGTTTAAGCTATTTCTGCCATTTCAGCTAGCATTTAGCTGTTTTTATGCTAATTTAATCTTTATCAGCTAATTTCATATTTTTTGCAATCATTTAAACTTATTTCAGCCTACTTCAGCAAAACATGCTCCCCCGACTTTCTTCTAATAATTTAAGCTTCTTTCTGCTTGTTTTAGCTAGTATTCTGCTGTTTTGACAAAATACAGTTTTTCTCAGATAATTTAAACTTTTTTGAGCTAATTTCTGCCTTTTTCAGCATTAGTGGCCACAATTAAGCTCAATCTACTTTGTTTTGGAAATTTAAGCTTCTTTCTAAATTTCTTTAGCTACTATTCAGCTGTTTCATAGAAAAACTAGAATAACTCTGCCATTTTTAGAGCTATTCAGCTGAAACTTGGCATATTGGTAGCTGACAATCATCCCTAATAGACTGAATGAAAATCAAAAAATTCAGCTAGTTCAGCAAATTTAAGCTGTTTTCTCAGCTGTTTTGTGCTCCTTCCAGCTTCATTCAACTAACTAAGATTTTTATGCTTCTTGAAACTTATTTCTATTAATTTCAGCTTGTTCTGTTCCTTTCAGCTTATTTCTGTAGGTTTCAGCTATTTCTGCTATGTCACTTAGAAATGTAGCTGTTTTTATGCTAATTTCATCTTTTTCAGTTAATTCCTCATTTTTGGCAATCATTTAAACTTTTTTCAGCCTAATTCAGCAAAAACATGCTCTCCTGACTCGTTTCTAGTAATTTAAGCTTATTTCTGCTCGTTTTAGCTACTATTCAGCTGTTTTTAGCAAATTACAGCTTCTCTCAGATCATTTCAACTTTATTGTGCCATTTTAACACTCTCTAAATGTCTTTAAGAATCTGTTGGACTCCTGGCAGGGTCCAATGCAGACATGTTCCTGTTGTTAGTTTTCTACATTTGTCTTGGAATCTAGCTGTTTTTTGTTTTGTTACCTTTTTCCTTTTAGCCATCCTATTTGTTAAAAAAAAAAAACTGTAGTATGCTTTTACATAACTGTTTATTGTTGTTGTTGTTGTCCATTGTTGTCATCATTCTTTGTTAAATCAGGTCTCTCTTGTAAATGAGTCCTCGAGGCTCAATAGGATTTACCTGTAGAAATAAAGGTTGATTGATTGTGCTTATTTCTTCCTGTTTCAGCCTTAGTGGGCACAATTAAGCTCCCTCCATTTCCTTTTGGAAATTCAAGCTTCTTGCTACATTTCCTTAGCTACTATTCAGCTGTTTTATTAAAAAAACTAGGATAACTCTGCCATTTTTAGAGCTATTCAGGTGAAATTTGGCGCATTGTTAGCTGACAACGATCCATAATAGAATGAGTGAAAATCTAAAATCCAAGATGGCCACCTTAGCAAAAAAGGAAAAATCCTCTAAATAGGCCAATTTTAGTCATTTTGTGCTGAAAGTTAGTGTGATGGTAGCTGACAATAATGTTGGTGATGGTAGCTGACAATAAT